TAATGTGTTTATTACTTAATTTCCTGAAATATTTCTCGACTTGAAACTGTTTAGGTGTATGTAAAGCATGCCCTGGCAGGAAGCCCTGCCCGTAGCAGCTCCTGTTGAGGGAGCGAGCTCATCCCCATTCTCAGGGCAGGCATGTGAAGTATCTACTCTAGAAGGAAATGCAGTGTTTGGGTAGACATTTTCTGCCCTCCCTGTCATCCATCTTGCACTGTCAATCACATAGATTTGAAAGGAAAGTCAGGAATCACCCCAGGGGCTGATGTCAACTTGTTTCGATCTGTTGGGTTTGACCTACCATTGCCTCTGCGTAGCCAGACATGGACATGATAGTTTGTGGCTGTCCCACTCAGATGAGCATGACTGCATCTGCCTGTGGCTTGTTAGACACTTTGATGCTTTCTGTGGCTCTAGGAGATCCTGAAAAGTGAACACGAAGAGCATATACTTCTATGCGAAGGAGAAAAATGTTTGAATAGCAACAGTCCATGTTAGTCTAGATAGAGCTTTTGAAGTCCATCTAATACTTACTGGCACTTGACATCTGCCATCCTTTTGTTCAGCTCCATTGAGGTGCCCCCATCTGCACTTTTACCTGTTGTCCACTCGTGCAACTGCAATAAGATGAGACCAAACATGTAATTTATATGTTTCTGAGAAGACTGTTGCACACCTGTCCATCAGACAGCCAGAGTTCTGCCTCAGACCTCACTTAATCATGCTAAGGTTTGTGAATTCTCTGTTTGAACCTATTTAAGAATGATCCTTGTGCTGCTGCTCTTTACAATGCTGTTTGACCAATTTTTTGACATTCTTGTCAGGGAGGTGAGAAAGTTTATGGTTATGTCCTTGCAGCATTAGATTGAGAAAAAAGTACTGTAGCATTCCCTGATGTTAGTTATGAATGTTGGTTCCTGCAAAACTCTGACATTGTCAAACAGCCTTTTTTATTTCTTTGTTTGCAACCATGCTCTCCATTGAAAGAAAAGACAATAGATACACTAGATGTGTCAGGAGATTCCTTTGTTACACTGATGACAGCCTAGTTCTATCTTTAGCCTTGTATTGCAAGGTCCAGCCCTCCCTCTATGAGGATACGTATGACCTGGAGCAAGAGCTTTCCTAGCAAAAAGTTTGTTTCCACTCTGCAGCTATGTCAGTTGATTGACTCAAAGATATTACTTGCCTTACAAGTCTTGCCTTTCTGAGTGATGGAAGAGAGTTGCCAAAAGCTAGATATAAATAACGTGCTGGTCTTCCAGTGGAAACTACGTGTGCATGCTTTGTAAGCGTGAAGTAATGTATCCCTGCATGAAAGAGGGACAAACTGCTGCACAGTACTGCAGGTTAAGAGAGCTCACTTAGCAGTTACTGCGAGGCAGTTAACATGCTGTAAATCTACACCCTGCTTTCTCATGGTCATTTCGGATATGACTACAAGACTATCAAAGTGGATGTTCAGAGTGTAGTACAGCGTGTCTCGCTCTGTTATGAGCTGGCTGGTATAACCTTCCTGAACATCCAGTCTTCCTCCAGCTTTAGTAATATGTTCCACTGCTTTGAATGTGTCAGTAACAGAAATCTGTAAGGCACCTTTTGCAATATATAGAGCATGAGGATCCTCTCTGTTCCCAGGGTACAAATACTTTTACAAGTGACCAATGCCTCAGGAACCTGGAGGCTTATTGGAATTTTTACTGCAGGTGCTTGCAGGAACATCTGACCTGAGGGCAAGTAAAACCTGTTCCCCTTTACCATGCATACTACTCCATGGCCTCCTCCCTCATACATTACAAATCATCTGTGGTGTCTAATCCTCATTCTTTTTTCTTCCCAGGACAGTGTAAGTGATCCTCTGAAATTGCTTTGAGCTCTGTGACGTAGGCAAGAAGCTGGTGGCGAAAGGAGAGGGGTTTGCCTAGTGGAGTCTAGAAGTTAATCCAATTTTTAACCCTTAGGTCTGATAAGAGCTATGGCTTTCCCAAATCTCTGATTTCTTGGGGCTTAGGGTCTCCTGTTACAATAACTCTTGCCAACTTCATGGCCTTGTTTGAGAAGTTTGCTTGATTTACTTGTTTATTAGAATTCTATGTAATTAATGAGGCCTTCTTTGGGGTTCCATCCTCTACTTACTGCTAGGATCTATTGTGTCTCACAAACATTTTTCAAGTTGTTGTTGAATCCTCTGCAATTTTTATCTTCTCTTAACTCAGAGTTTAAATCAGAGTTAACAAGATAGCTCTGTTCGCTGGCTATGCCAGCATCTCCATCATTCTATTCCAAGTTTGATGTCTTGCTATCCTTTTGGGCTTCCAACTTGCCCTTCTCAGAACATGTAAACCCGACTACTGTTTCCACCATCCTGGATCAGACCAAATAAATTGTACTTTCTCAAGCTGTGGCTAGTATTAAATGCTTTATGTGGAAGATGCCTGGTACCCTGAAGAGTGTTTCTCCTTTACCAAAGTATAAACACTCCTAATCCAGAGCATGTATTTTCCAAGCAGGTGGATGTTCTCCCAGGATACATGCAGTCCTTTTTCTTTTGGTTTGATAGGCTCTTGGACTTACTGGTGTGAAGTGTCAGTGAGCAAAAGCTGGCCAGTAGTGTTTATCTCTTATTCCAAACGTGTCTCTTTCTGTTCCCTTGCTGTTAATGTTAGTTGTGTTGATCATTTCAGCATCCTTTTGCAAGCTTAAATACACCTCCCCTGCTTGCCTTCCCTTCTGCTGCTTGAGTCAGGTTCTGGATATCATCCTTCAAGCTTCAGCATTCATCCGTAAGATCTCAACTGAGCTTTCCTCCTTCTTCCCTACCATCCAGTCTGCTCTCACTGCCTCTTTTGCATATGTTGTCCATTCTTGATTCTGTGTTACTCCTTAGTGTCTGTCCTTACCTACAAACGTGTTAATTCTACAAAACAAAGCCATTAAAGCTTTATGCAGTCCTCCTGGGTTGTTCTAGACTCTTCTCGTACGTGCCTCTGGCCTGTAAGTTCAAGGCTGGGATGCTGTTTGCCTCATGTTCTTTGCTTAGCAAGCTGCATACGCTCACTGTGCTCATGCATTAAGTGATCCTTAAAGTGCATTAAAAGCCTCATGTGACAACTGTTGTGAATGTGCCGTACTGTGCTCGCAGGGAGGCTTGAGCCTTTAAGTATAGACCTGAGTTCTCACAACTCCAGGCAAATCAGGTCCAGAGACTTGCTTAAAGGCCTTTTTAGAAATGTGTCATGGTAGTAGAAGAGAGAGGGAGCGTAACATTGTGGTAGAAGAGATGGGAAAGAGAATAGCACAGAGAGGGTGGACTACCTTTTAAGCACCTAAAGCCAGGCGATAAATGTGGCTCAGGGCCGTTGATTGCTTTCTGTAGTGTCTTTACCCATTCCTAGCTTGCTTACACCACGTAAAACTTCATTTGTGGTGTTTGGGTGTGATTAAAATGGCAGTCTGAGAGGAGAGAACCCTGCCATGACATCAACTTTCCACTGAGTTATTTAAAAAGCTGGATTTATTTTTTTTTTTTAAATCCTGTGATGGGTCATAATTTTAAAACTAGTAAATATTTCTCATTGTAAGAACAAACTTCCTTTTATAGTATCCACATGCTGCTGTTTTTACTGAATCCAGCATGGAGCTATTTCCTATTTCTAATTGTTCACTCACACTCAGCAGCTCGTGTGTGTTTATGTGCGCGCTCTCTCTTTTTCTTTCTCTCTCAGCTGTTTTAGCCTTGTTGATCTATCACTGTGACTTTGGCGAGACGACGCCAGCTCTCAGTGTTTAATGGGCTGTGAGCAGGAACGATCAGCTATTTCCTCTGCCTGTGAGACCATGATGTCATCAGCTACTCTGGGTTGCTTTACCATCTGCTGCTGCTGTTGCTTTCGTGTATGTGGAAAGAATGTAAACAGCACTTTCCAGATGTTCTCAGGGCTGCTGGAGAGCCATAAATGGACTGTTTGGTTCAGGAATATTACTAATCTATTTAGGAGATGGTGGTGAATAGAGTCACAAAAACATGTAGCTCCAATGCGTACCCTGTGCAACATGCTCGGTCAAGCGTATTGCACTGGGTTGTTGAACGGTTAAGTGGTTACACAAAGTGTTCAGGACTTGAGCTGGGTAGGTGAACTATCTGTATAACTGCTCTTCTTCCCTCTCTTACCCTTCTTCCAGCTTCAACTCTTGAATGAAACATAGCAACAACGTCCTTCTAATCTCATGCAAAGCAAATGCTGTTTTGTTCATCCAGGCTGCCTCCAAGTTTTAAGTGATCTCAACGGATGAAGAGTAAAGAAAAGATAGATGATCTATTTTTTGAACTCGCGGTACAATATTTGGTGTAGTAGGAACTACTGAATAAACATGGGGGTGTTTCATCTTGGTGCAGTATAGAATAAGAATTTGGAAGCCAGTGTCTCTCATGCCTCTCCAGGGCTGGAAAAATCATCAAATTTCACCCACTTGTGGTATATCCAAAAAAAGTCTATTATGGGGGAGAACCAGTCACTTCCTTCTCTAGGGTGTGTGTGTGTTTTTAATGCATTAATTAATTTTTATTGAGTGGTGGAAAGACTGATGTCAGAGCTGCATTGCAGCTGGATGTGCAGGAACACAAGGTTGTAGGAAATAATACAGCTAACTTCATAAGGGCAGTGAAAGTTTAACTGTGAAGGATTTAAAATAGCAAAGCTGAGCCATATGGATATTAAAAGATATGACTGAATCAAAACAACAGTCTAATATTAAACTAGATTTTGCTGGGGGAGTAGCAAACTTCTTGGGTTAATTTCTCTTGTGTACCCAGTGTCCAAGGGTAGGTCTCAGCACCTTGATTTCTGACTTTGGTATTACCAATTTCTGGCTACTGCAGGATACAAACTACAAGGGGCAACACTGGTTGTGTCTTGCTGTTTTTTTGCCAGGCCTCTCTATTCAGGAGTCTGTAGAGTACCCTTTTCCTTTTACGGTGGTCTATAAACTTGTCCAGCATGACTTCTTCCCTGGCACCTCTGACAGTTCAGATTGCACAGATCCATGACAGCAAGGCAGAGGGAGGTGGAGAGAAGTGCTTTGGAAATTGGAGCCAAGAAGGAGTGCGGTTACATAATTGTACAAAAGGAAAAGGATTTTTTGTTTTGTTTTGTTTTTCCTTCTCATACCCTTCTGCAAACTGAAAAAATGTTGGAAAGCTGGATGGAAAAACTTCAGCATCATTCGTCCCTGTGGGGACATGAAATATATTGAAATATTCCACCTGTTTTATGGCTGTTGCTTTTCCTCTTTCAGGTTTGACATCTACAGGAAGGTGCCGAAAGACCTTACACAGCCAACCTACACAGGGGCTATTAGTAAGTAACATTTCTTTTTTATGTCCTTGCATCCCCCTGGTCTAAAATTAAAAGATCGTTTGGCTTCTCTGTCTCTGGGAGATTTTTTTAAAGGGATATTAAACACTGGAAAGGGTATCCTTTGTTGCTGAGACAGCTCATTTTGCCTAATCTGTCAGATCGTACTAAACAGCAGGGTAGTTTGCATGGATTCAGAATTTCAACAACAAAAAGTGGTAAAGATACATTGTCATGAAAGGGAGCTCCTAAAAGCTAGTGCTGAAATACCCACTCTCCTAGCTACTGAAGTAGCTAGGGAGCTTTTTGCTAGTGTCTTCCCATGAACACAAGCTATGAGTCTGCTCCAAACACTGGTAGGAGGGATGACTGCAGATTTTTTTTTTTACTGCTCTGCTAGGCATCCCCTCCGTCAGTGTGAACAACAGCTGGTAACAGTTGCATTGACAGTTGGTGTACCCAGGTGTTTGCTCGCTGAAGAGTCTTGAAGAACCAAACCTACTACAAACAGGGAATCCGGGTTCTGGATCAGTAAGGAGCAGTGTGGGTGGCAAATACGTGGTGGCCAGCGGTGAAGATGATTTGGGAAACACATAGTTCTCTCACAGTGTACTCAGAGGATTCATCTGATGTTGTAGGTGGGACTAATGAGCAGAGATCTTATTTTGTTGTTATTTGCCATGCTTTTAAAGAAGAAAAATTGCTTGGTCAGAAACCACTGATAGCAATCCACTCTCACTCCCGTGTATCAATACATAGACTTCAGCTGATATAAATCTCTTGCCTTGGGCCCCTTTTCCTTCCTTCCTCCTTCTGAGGGAAGCTGTAGGCTGAGTAATGCAATTTCACACAATTATATGCAGTGAGCACACCGTGCGGAGTGGTAAACATTGATCAGGTTGATCCTGCCAAGCCCGTAATTAGACGCCTAATGCAGCTTTCCTGTTCCATTGAACAGTAACTTCCTTTGATCATGTAGCTGTGCTCCATTCATCCATTCTTGTAGATGGGTCAGTAGCCTTGTATGTCACTGCTGACGTGAGTGATGTCATATCCCTTGGTGACAGCAGGCATCAAATAGAACTGAGTCAGTACCAGTGAATCGATGGGCACAAAGGAAAGCTCTTTGTGAGCTAAAGAAACTCCACACTCCTTACTGAGGATGGCAAAGACTGGAACAGGTTGCCAGCGGTGGTGTGGAGTGTCCATCCTTGGAGATACTCAAAACAACTAGACTCAGCCCTGAGCAACCTGCTTTAGCAGACCCTGCTTTGAGCAGGGGAGTTGGAGGGGATGACCTCCAGAGGGGTCCCTGCCATCCTCAACTATTTTGTGCTTCTGTGAAGATAGCACATTACTCTAAATATTTACTTTCAGAGACTACTTGTCCTCTGTCCTTCTCCTGACCACCAAATTACTTGCATGTTGACTCCCTTTTAGGTTGGCCAAAATGGTGAACAAAGGGCTTGAATAAAACTGTTTGCTAATTTAGAGGTGTATGAGATTTAGTGTTTTGAAAGAACACTTTGAACTTGTTAGTGATCCTGCCTTCTCTTCTGTTTTGGAAACTAAGAGTTCCCACACTATAACTGGGCTCCCTTTGAGAGTTTGTCGTGTTATGAATCACCTGCAAAAGAGTGTGTTTTAGAAACAGAAAAACCATCAAAGGCCATCCAGTGCTAGGCTTTCTGATCTGCAGTAAACAGCTCAAGTGATAAGTCTGTTGTGGGAAGGCTTGAAGGCTGTGACTCTTACTTAAAATTATTAGCTGACTTATTTCTCTCTATTGTTATTTGCAGCTTCTCAGGCTTTGATTTTCTTCTCTAACTGGTTCTCCTACTTTTTGTCAGAGTGTTTTTTAGACAGGCAGATATAAGCTTTTGAACCACACAGGCAGCCAACAAGCTGTGGTGGCTTTGCATGTGAGGATCTTATGTGCAGCTTTCCTAATGGGCTTTCTGTCTGACCAAGCCTGTGACTTGTAATTTGAAAGCCAGTAATCTTATGTGTTGTAGGAGGCCATGAATGAGACCAGCCCATTGCCATGCCAGTTTGAAGCCTGGGAAGATTGCATGTTTTCGTGATAAATGCTTTAGAGAAGTCAGCTTGTAATAACATTGGGGACTTGAGGGTAGGGGAGGGTTCTGCCTCGCAAAAAATCTTTTAAGGTCTAGTAAATATGTAAAATGACTATGGCTGCAACTGTGTTTTGGCTTTCTTTAAGTCCTCCAAGTTCTACAGAGCAGATATAAAATAGCCCATAGTATCTGGCTCTTAATTTAGGCACTTCCCACATGATTTCTGCTGAAACTTTAGTTCGGTATCACTTCTGGTGCCAAAGGCACTTCTGGAATAGGAATGAGTTTACTACAGGATTCCTACATTTGCTTTTGGATTGTAAAAGGACTTTTTTTTTTTTTCTTAAGTTTGAGGTTTATTAGGGAAGAAGGCACAGATTAGATTACAGAAGAAAAGCAACGGAAAATACCAGCTCTGCTTCTGACCACCAGGGCTAAAGTGGCCAACTCTTCTAGGAAAGCAGCAGCTCAGGGAGAGTAAGTGCTAGGGTGTTTTAGTGAAGAAGAGCAGGTGATCTCGAACGCAAGCAAGTTCAGAAGCCAACTGGAGGGTTATTGAGGCTTTCTGTTGTGTATGGATTTGTAATTTCAAAAGTTGCCGTGAATGTGGCATACAAGACATTTCAGATCTGTGTAATAACCCTTCTGGCTACTAAAAATTAGTAGGAATGAAGGAACCAAGAACAATCCCCTGCAGTTACTGGAGTGAGGTTTGTATAGGACAACATACCCACTGCTGTGGGCTTCTCTGGAAAGTGTGCAGAAGTTAGTTGTTCCTTAATAAAAATCGCTTCTTTCAGACAGAATTGTGATCCCTGTGCCACTCAGTCAGTCATGCCACTGTTGTCCTTCTTCTACCAGATGCTTGTGCCAGCCTTTGCAGGCCTTCCCACCCCTGTGTAGCGTGTCTCTGATGGCAGCACACAGCCATTCTAACAGACCTGACTAACGTGGTGACAACTTGGCCATGTTTGGGTACGTAGGCAGCAGCAGCACATGCCCTGGCTGGCTGACAGTTGGCATCTGGCTGGACAGGAGCAGTCTTGACTTCTTGAGAGAGGGGCCTGCAACTCGGACAGCTGCTGTAGTGCTCCTGCTATGTAACAGTCAGTGTGGATGCATTGTTTGCATGCACATGTTGTATGCACACATGGTAACGTTATCCAGAAATACTCTAGGCTGTTTGGAGGCTGGAGTTTTAAATACACATCAGGAAATATCAAAGTTATGATTCACATGGTATCTGTAACAAGACCCGTTTCTTGCACTTCATAGCAGTTTGCTCCATTGAATAATAAATACTATTAATTTTATGCCTTAATATAGACATGGATCCACGTTCTCAGTTTGTATGATGTGTTAAACACTTTGCGTTTCTTTCATTTCTTCTGGGGTGGGGAGGAGGAGTCAGGAATGTACATAGATGGAGTATGTCTCAGAAGGGATATGTACAAAAAGGTTAGGCTGTCAAAGCTAGTGTAGGAAAAAACGACTTGGCAGAATTTCCCATCCTTTTGGGATTACTGATTAGCCAACAGCAGCGTGTTTCAGTGTGTCTAACACCAGCAACCTTTGATAATATTGATTGTGTTATCATACTAGAGTTTTAAGAAACCTGCCTTAGATGGTCCTTCGAGCTCTGTGGGAACATTGCAGTGCTCTTGCAGTTAAGCTAAGCTTTATGCATGAATTGTTTTATTCTGTCTGATCCTAGCCTTTAATTTACTTTTCCAAATATAATGCAGTTGTCAAATGTGGGTGGCAGGAACTGCACATTTGCATGGAAGCAAGTAAAGGCCCTCACTATGAAATAAGTAGCTGAAGCACTGTGTGTGTAAATTCTTGTGCTGGGAACATCATATATGCGTGCAGCTCCACATTAAGGAGAAGAACTCACGTTCTCTGTCTGAAAAAATGTTGGCTCTAGAGACAGTTTAACACATAAGGCTTTCACGTTAAGTCTCACGCCAAAGACACCCCCTGCCCTGAAAACGTGTGTGTACGAGAAGAGTTTAACACAAGAGTGGCCATGCTAGTTAGGTCAATGCAAATGTCCATGTAGTCTACTGTGCTCTTGCCAGAAGTGGTCAGCAGCAGATGCCTGAGAAAGAGGATAAGGACAGGTTAAACACTTCACCAGGCTTCGGTCAGTTGGCAATTCTGAACTTCCTGAGCTAGAGGTGGTTCCTTTGTGTTTAGTAACCCTTGGTGGATTTCTTCTGCAGGGCAGAAGAAGATTCCTTTTTGAAATCTTAGCCTTTTTTTAAGCAACCTCCACATCCATAGTCAAGAATTTTCAGAATTTAGTTAGGTGTTGCGTAAAGGAAAACCTCCTCTGGTTTTTAACCTCCCCCTTCCCTCCCGTTCCCATACTGGAAGAGACAGTGAGTGGCTTTTCCCCATTCATCTCCTTCAGGCTGCTCGTGATTTTATACACCCCTCTGATGTCCACCCTCAGTAATCTCTTTTACAGGTTGAAAACTGATTTTGAAAGTAAGTCCCTACCAGGTGTTTCAGGGCATTTTTGCAGGACTTTTTAGATGTAGAATAGTGGAATTTTACTGTACTGTAAGTACAGTATTGGTAAGTATGGTAGTATTGTAAGTATTGTCACAAGCCTTCACTGCAAGAGTGGAATTGGAAGATGGACTTGAGGAAGCAAACACTTTGTATACTGGAAAAGGAGAAGATAATTTGATGATGTAAATGGCAGAGAAGATAGTTAAAAAACTGGGAGAGAGAGAAAGCTCAGGGAGAGAATTTACAGTAAGTAGTACCAGGCTTGCATAGAAGTGCTGGAGAACAGAGGTGTAGCTGATGCTAGCCTTTACAGGATGATAACAAGCAGAAAGGAATATGGGAAGCAATTAAAGGAGAAAGGGTTGTCTCTGTCAAACGCTTTCCCCTGCATACTGCCAGAGATGAGGGATCTTGTGTCTCTGCTGTTTGGTGATTAACAGTAAGAAACACTGGATGAACTAGTCTTGTGCTTAGGTTACTTTTTTTGTGCTCTTACGTAGGTGTATATGTTCTTACAAGAATTTGCTGCTGTGCTTTAAGGAGGCCATGCTCCTCCCCCACACTGAATGGTGCACCATGCCAATGGAATGGCTTAGCTGCGTTACAGAAGCACACTGCTACTGTGTCTGGACAGCCAAGAATTGGAAGCAACTGTGAAACCGTATGAGATTTTTCGTTAGAAATTAGTATCGCCTCTTGCTTCCCATTTTCCTGCTGGTCTTTGACTTTATTTTTCCCTTTTCTCTCTTTCTTCATCCTAGCTAATGGATTTTTTGGCATCTCTTTTAATCCCTTGCGCTTTGCAGAGGGTCAGTAAATTAATCCACCCTTGAAATGACTCTGAGGAAGGGGAAGCAACGCATTTCTCTTTCCTCAGAACTATAAACTGACTAATCTGAAGAATGATGCACAAGGCTTTAGGTCACTTGAGGGTCTGTCTCAGTATTTGCCTTAAGTACCTCCTCTTTCCTTCCCTTGCCTCTCACATTCTCTACCAAGGGAGTTTGGACAGGCGCAATTGTACAATAAAATTGCTCCCCAGCCAGTTGTTGCTTTGAGCTTCCTGAAGGAATGGGTATTCAGGCTGCATAGGTCATGTGGAATAAAGTTGAGGAACAGGGTTTTTCTTATGTATTTCTCAATCCTAATTAGCGGCTATGGTAAAGTGGTCATTTCCAAAGAGTGCTTGGTCATTGCAACTCTGCTGGGATTGAGGGCTGAGCCAGATTGTACTCCTGTTGTCACAGCCCTGGAATAGCATGCCATTTCCTGGTTTACTCTTTCGTATAGTGATTCATGGTGAACTTGGGTATTTTATTTAATACATGCACACATTGCAGCCCTGTCTTCTTGAGTTGGCACGTCCTTGTCTATTCCAATCATCCCTGCTCAATAGGATTGACAGCTCTCCTTCCTTCCAGCCCCTCCTGTGTGGGTCAGTGACTGTCACTGCTGCATGAATGTCACTGTGCAACTTTGAATAGTTTCCTGATGAAGAGTAACTAGTAATATGCCAGTTACTTTGGGTTCCCTTCTTTTAACTCTAGGTTGGCATTCTTAGAAAAGACATGGAACTTGTCCAGGTACTTTGCTGTTCCTTCACTAGGAATTTTCCCTCTCTGAAGAGTCAATATATTGGCAAATGTAGAAATTGGAGAATTATAAGGCATTGGCTAGACTAGTCCATTATCACTGTGTCTCTGCTGTACCAGCTCTATGGAGTGAGTAGCGCAAGATGACTTACACATAGCCTTAGAACGTGACAAAAAACCAAATGTCTCCTAATTCACAAAACACTGTGTAGCTAACTGTAAGGCGGTGCTGATTCTTTTTCCTTCCTGTAGGTTTTAGTAGCAATAAAATTACATTTGGAGGAAGGGGTCCAAAGAAGTCATGTTGTCAAGCAACTTTGTCAAGAAGGAGAGAGAGCTGGCAGACCAGCATTGTGTGTTGGAGATGGAGAATGCAGAAGCCATGGGGAGGGGGAAATCACGATGGAAAAGGTAGCCTAAGAATTAAGGTGGCCAGTAGGATGTTGGGTATTGGCATGCCATTGAAGTCACTGCTCTGATGGCCTCGTCTGGGTCATTGTCTCTAAAGAGTGTTAGTTTTCAAGTGTGTCTGGCATATCCCTGGGGGGAATAATATACATGGGTGAAAACAATTTTTGTCTTTGTTAGAGATATGAAACTAACCTTCTCCTCTCCTTGCCTCTTTTCCAGTCTCTGTCTGCTGCTGTCTCTTCATACTGTTTCTCTTCCTGTCGGAGCTCACCGGATTCATAGCCACTGAAATGTAAGTAAAAATCATGTTTTCTGTTGTTTGAATGTATGTGCCTATGTGATTCTTTACAGTTTTACTATGTTATCTTGGAAAAACGTGCCTGTAATTTCCCTAGGTCAGTTAGTTGTCTAATGGTTTTTGGATTCCTTTTGATTGAGTGGGAATTCTCAGTCATTCATTCAGCTTTTTAATTTACTAAAGTATGCTAGGCAAATTTGTTTCTAGAATTCTTCTGATAGAGAAAACTGTTCCAGACCTGCTTGATCCTTTATTAGTTGTATACTGGATTTCTCTGTTGAGCGCAGTGGATATTTTTCAGGTGACCACACATCCCATCAAAAGCTCCTGACCCTTTTCAGTTTTCTGATGATCAGGTGTAAGGTAGCATGAATGCTAAGATGATCGATGCCAGTCAGTTGCAGTTTCCCTCTTCCTTCTTAGGCTGATGATTTCTTGTCCTCGTCTGAGATTTGTTTCTCTTCTCCTCCTGAATAGGCAATTTCATCTGTACTTATCTGACTCAAAGTGATCATCAAAAACTAGTGTATTTTTCATTAGTGATACCATCTATTTAAATGCATGGTGCCTGCTGGTTGAATCCACATGGTCTGTGCTGTGAGACTGTGAGGTCCCATTGCAGATACAGTGGGATCTCTGACGAGACATTTTCTTTCTTCTTTATCCCCATTGATAAAATCGGTATTACATTCTGTCAGTCTTCACTGGATGCATTGTCCAAGGTAACTTCTTTGGGATGTTGCTTTGAGCAAAATGAGAAATCATTTCCAGTTTAAAAAATGGCTGATAGAACAAGTATTTTTTAGTTAATCAGATTTTTACTTTCCCTCCCCACCCCTCCCCGCCCCCGGTTCTCATGCTCCTCCTGCCTTGAAGTAAGCTTTTCTTAGTAACTATTAACACAGGTACCTTTGTTTTGGGTTCTAGGAAATATTCTCCACCATCCTGCTGATGTGGCAGTGAGCTCACCAGACTGTGATGCACAGTTCCTGGATAGTTAGGAAGGGTGGAACTTTTGTCAGACTTAGGTGATGGTCCAGATAGCAACACATGTCACTGCTGAGCAAAAAAGATCTGAAACGCATTTGGCTCATATGCAGTATTTAGGTTGATCATGCTTTACGTGGCTTCTGATAACCATGTGATTTTTTTCATTGTTTTTGTGCAGCTCTGACTGGCGTCAAGAATATAATTTCAAGAATAATCTTAACCTTGAGTAATGTTTAACCTTAAGACAGTAGTGTAATCTAGCTCTAGCTATTTTTTATGCCCATTGCACGTTTACTTCAGAGATGGTATCTTAGGTTTCTTACTCGCTGTTTCTTTGAATTCAGTTCTGTGCATTTGCTTGTAAAATACTAGGGTCACCTTACCAACACACTTCTTTCAGGAGCTGAGTTTTTTTGTTTTAAAAAATAAAGAAATGTAGACAAATTGCTTCAAGTAAAATAGTACTTTTTCATGCTCTGCACTTAGATCTCATTCTCTCATCTGGTTTTCTTTTTTCTTTTAGTTAATGCTTTACCAGAGGAATTAGTAATATTTACCTAATTTTGATCCAGTTACTTGAGTGCACATGCCTTTATGCAGTGGTAGTTTCCTGACTAGAGATTTCTTTTTGAACAGCAAAATTATATGATTCTGAGGCCTTCTCATACTTTTTTCTTAGCAAGGTGATGCATTTTCTGCAAAGATGTTAGAGGTGCTATAAGTTTCTGCATGCTCAGCTGACAAGATTCTCATTAAAATTTCAGAGAGATGGTAAACTGCCTTTCCCCACAGGAACTGCGTTGGGAAGAGGTGTTGGTAAGCAATAAAGCAGTAAAATTTTAGAGAGGATGTCATGGAAGAGACTGAGACAAATGAATGCAACAAACTGATTCGTCAGGGACTGCCCTACACAAAGCTTGCAGAATATGAAAACCTGCTTCTGATGACTTATAGGTCATCAAAATCTCTCTTGTTGGAAACAGATCACCCACAGCATTTGTGAATAGGCTCCCCCTGTAACAGCAGAAATACTTCAGAAAGTCACATAACAAATTGCTTCCCAGTTCAGCAACTTCTAAAGTAGAAGTAAACTTTTCTTTTTCCACTTCTTACTCATTGCTTTCTCTTCTGGGAAACCCAGTACCTTAGAGGTGTTCAAAGATGTTGCTAGCCTCTTGTGCTTCCCTTTCAAGTGTGTATTACTGGCAGCACATTGCTAGGCAGTATAGCCTTATTGTTCTGAATAAGGGCACAGAGTGTGGAGCTCTGCATGGTCTGGGACAAACAGCGTGAGAACTCTGTGCCACCATTTAAACTGGGTGGTAGCAAATAACAGGGGAGACAGTATCTCACAAAGACATTTTGAGCCTTGTTTGCCCACGAATCAACTACTTTTGAAGATACAGAAGATTCCTTATGTGCAAATGTTCAGTTCCCATCAGCTTTTATTGCAAGCTTCAAGTTTCTTTTGTATTAGAGTCTCCTATAACAGATATCTCTCCCAGCTTGAAGTTTCCTGGTGTCAGCGAGGATCTGAATGATTAACTAGAGTGTGCACTTACATGGGGTGATCTTTCCTGCTTTGCCAGTGCCAGCTGTGCTATGAGACTGCATCAGTCTTTCTCCTCTTGTGTAATATTTCCCTTAAAGCAGTCATGCCCTTGACAAAGCTGGATTGCATGGGAATAGCTGCACATTTTTGATGGCAAGGTGAAATTGAGAGCACTTGGCCTGGTGCCTTACATCAGGGACATACTAGGTTTACTGATGTGGACTCGTGCTTACCTCATAGCCCTATTATGTGGAGTTAATTGTGCGTGGTGTGTGTGCATTGACAGCCTGCTTCAGGGCAAGTCAGCAGCAACCTCCACAGCAGTGGTACCCCCAGGATTAACTGTCTGACTCTCACCAACGGGAGGTTCCTTTAGGTGCAGATACCAGGGTGAGAGGTTGATGTGGTTTGAACTCATGCTGTGACATGAGAAAATAAGGTCTGCTCCACATCACCCTAACCCATAATACTTGCTAGCTTCTACCCATTGTTGGACTTTCTTCTACATTCATACAGCTGTGGCAACTTAAATTCCTGGTATTACTAGAAATCTCTGTTTGGTCACTCTTGCCCAACTTCAAAGCTGTTTTTCCTTGGCCAGCCCATTGTCTTAGCGTTTATAGTCTCAACTGCTGAAGACTTGTCTGGGTGGCAGAAGGCCAAGAAATTACACCCTCATCTTGAGGATAACAGTCATAACACTAAAAGCAAACAGATTACCTATGTGTGGAAGACAGTGTGCATCACAGTAGCTGTGTCATAACTCGTGTGGGCATTTCTAATGAGCGCTAAGATTGCGTCTGTGCACGGGAGCTTACTTCAGTTAGGAAGCCGAACTAAGACACTGTGCGCATTGCAGCGGACATGCAGGAAGTTCATGTGGCATAGGTAACGCGCTATAAATGCACATCCTATTTTGCTGCTGACTAGCTTCCTGTGTAGACAAGCCCTGAGTAGGTTAGAAAACTCTAGTTTCTCATCTTCTACATTTATTGTGAGACCCAAACAGGCCTCTGAGCAGCCGTGAAGGAAATCAAAGCTTGGTTCTTAGGTGGGGCTACATCCTTTTCAGGAAAAGCACAGTGAAAGGCTGGTGAGGGAAGAGGTTTTTCTTCCTTTGTTCAGCCACAACCCATCATTGGGTTTGCAATGGTGAGGATGAGTTTGACTCTGGAAATCAAGGATCTTTTTTTTTTCTGTCCAGACTGAGAGTGACTGAAGGCTTAGTCCAAAACCAGAACCTGTATTAACCTTCTCAGTTCTGTAAAAGACAGGTAAAGAAAAGCAGGTTCATGCTCCACATTTGAAGGGCTGCAGAATTGACAGTATCAAACACAGTTGTCCCACTGAGCAAATGACCCAAATGGGTCAAGAAATGAAGCTGAAGTGTTAAATGTGTCTGGTATTTCCTGGGCAGGATTGGTAGTAGGTTGAGAGCTGAGAGCAGATTGTGGGCTAGAAGTTGCTTGGCATACCTTTAACGGCCTTCCTCATTCATCTTGCTGTTATGTTGCAAATCAAGAATGTAGAAATCACCTATCTCTTTCCTAATTAACTCAGATCAGTGCTAGAAGTTAATAGCTGGCAAGATGATAATCCTGCAGTTTTATCACTGTAATTAGGTCATGAATTATGTTCTGTAGGATCAATAGGAGTTTTCCATGTATTCCATCATTAAGGAGGAAAGATGTAATTAACTGATCTAGTCTGCCTTGCATTGGCAGCCAGGGGAAGGGGTAGGAGGGTATGAATGTGATACTTGTGGTATGAATGTAGCTGCTCAACAACAATTCGTCTGCCACAGCACACTGTAGAAAGCAACAGACCATTCCTGGCAGTAGTGGGGGTTTTTTTTTCTTTTTTTTTTTTTTTAATGAAGTAACTGGCACTGAATGGGCTGAAGTGACAAGTTTGCCACCTGGAAGGCTGTACCCTCCTGCAAGGCAATTAATTACTTAAGCAGAATATCTGTAATAAAAATACTGCCTTTGCATAAAAGCATAAATCATCAGCAACGTCCAAATAATTTTTTCATTTAAGGTGACTGGATCATTCACTGGGGACACCTGCTTGCGTTAATCTTTATGGGGAATAACCCATGAATATCACACAGCCCAGCTTCTGTGCCAGAGCCACATCATGGGCACAGCTTCACTGCTCATGCAGGCTGTCAGGTACCCCGAATGTGGGAGGAAGGAAAATGCCAGGAGCTTCTGAGACCAACATTGCTTGTTCACACTGGATGCATTTGCATGCCCAAGACCGATCCTGCAGTGAAACAGAATTGTTATACCTGCCTTCAGAGCTTTGTGTCCCTTAGCTCTCCAAGGTATGTGGAATGTGTCTTTTGGCTCTTGGCCCATGAAAATTCCTTGTAACAACCTGCAGGATCAAGCTGTACCTGCTGTAAGCAGCAGAGTGTGATCCTGGTGCAACAAGAATTCTGTCTGTTGGAAACTGTAGCCTTGGAGCATAAGCCATCTGCACCAGGAGCACAATGCTACAATTTCCACGTTCTGAACCAGGTTCCAGACATTAAGTTGGAGATGCAACTCCAGCTCCACCAGCTTATCCAGTTGAGGCAGATGAAATGCTGGAGCAAGCCAGACCAGCATAGAGAATACAGCCTCATAGTCAGAGGAGAATGGGAGTTGTAATCCTGCTCTTGCCATGGACTGACCTTGAGACACACACTTTTCTATAGAAGGATGTAATACTTAGCTGCCTACATCTCAGGGGTGCTAAGAAGCTTAATTAATGTTTGCGTAGTAACTTGGAGATTACCTAATAAAAGGTGTTATATATTTGTGAAGTGTTGTTATGCTGTTTGTCCTAATGTATATGTGTGGGTTAGCAGGAAGCGGAAGGTCATGTCATGATGTCATTTGCAGTTTCTGACTCAAATCTACATTGACGTCTTTTGAACCCTTCTCCTTCTTCCTGCCTTCTGGAGAACTGTAATTCCTTCCTTTGTAGGACAGTGTGTTTTCTGTGCTTCACAACTGAGCCGAAACCTGATCTGGGACAAAGACCTTCTCAATGAAGAACTAATTGAAATTCAGGGCATGGAAGGAAGATTATAAATGGCAGAGCAATAGACATATGCACAATTTATTACACAGTAGATAATTTGCTGACCTGCTTGTATTTCTTTGCACAAATTGAGAAGAAGATGGCTTGTTTGTCCTGTGTTGTGTCTTCTCTGGTCTGGCACAACTGCGAAGAAGATAGTGCAGGAATCTCAGCTTTGGATGGTTGTGTTTCCAGAAGGTGGTTGATTAGAGCTGAAATGGCAAGCGGAGCCAAGAGAGCTCTTCTGAGAAAGTCTTTTGAGAAGCTTTGGGCTCCCTCAAGAAAGAATAATTATCTTCCCTCTTAGGCTTAGGGTCCTGGAGACCAGAGAGTGCCTTCTGGGAGTTGGAGGACAAGGTAAAACGCAGCTTGCTGGAGTAAGTGGTTGTACTTTCTGTATGGCTGATGACTGGGGAGGAGGGTGCCTCGTTGTTTTCTGTGAAAGAAGTAGAAGAAAGAATAGAACTTGAAGCAGAGGCTAGGACAAGGAGGACAGAGGACAAGGAAGATGTGTTTAGAGAGCACCCATACAGTGTGTGAAGCTCTGAAAGATTAATGCAATGTGTATCTTGAATTCAAAGGGCTGCAGGCTCTTCAGCTGTTGAAGTGCTGAAGTGTCTAATGTTAGTCGCCAAGGCTGCTGGATGGAAATAAGTTACTGAGGAAGTTTTGTTTCTCGGAAAACAAAGCTGTTGTGTCATAAATCTAAGTCCTAAAGCATGGAGAATGGGTCTGGCTTTCTTTGGATAAAATCTTAAAGAAATGCTAAGCCCTCTTGCTGATGTTTCCCCCTTTCACTGCAGATCATGCAAATGGCACGAGAGAATCTTAGCCAAACAGTCCCTCTAACTTTTTCTGTGTAATGCTGCAAGTTTGTAAGCAAACTGAGAAGCCCGGCAGCACCACTCAGGAAGGTGAAGTATTTTGAAGTGTCTCTTCCTAGAAGTGAAGCAGATTCTTTCTGTGTGGATCACAGCTCCTGCTGTGTGGAGAAACTTTCCTCCCTTTCCTCAAATCAGTGGTGGGGGGCCCTGCGGGGGAAGAGGTCCACCTCTCACCTGTCCTGTTGCCCTCGTTGTACTTTCATAGCTCTGCACCTCACCTCTGTTTTATTGTGCCACTTTCATTCAGATAGTCTTTAACAGCAACCAGTAAAATACAAACTCCTTCATACTTACGGTCTTTGGGAGAGGTACCTGCCACCTTTGGAGTCACAGTATGACCCTAAACGCAGCTTCTCTAAACAGCCGTAGAAGCAGCTGCATTTACAGTGTCCTTCTGCCTAACCCTGGGTTTTATTTCCCTTGTGACTGTCCCAGATTCACTGTTAAGCACTCTTACTCCTGGGACACTTTAAGTTCCAGGAGGGACAACTATAAATTAGAGCCAACTTCATTTCTTCCACTGGAGATCCTGTTCCTTCAGGGGGCGTTGCTGGAGGTGGTAAAGAGAGCTTTTCTCAACATCCCAGGATTGTCCGGTTAAATAATAGGAAGGCTGTGTGCAATTTGGCTTCTTGGTCCTGGGGAGGAGGGATAGCAAGCGAGGCAGGAGTGACAGTTCTCTGCCAGCTCCATCCGGACTTATGTGGCAGTGGTGCAGGGAGAGATCCTGGAAGGAGTAGCCTTGACCCTGGAAGTTTGCTTTACCTGTGAAGTTTCCAGAATGTATTTTGGGACTGAAATTTCCAGTTTGTTGAAAGTGACATTTCTTCTGATGTTTGCCCCAGCAAGCATAGCCTGTGGTGTGTTGTCATTGTGCCCTTGGTTCCCTATGGTGAGAGGGAACCTCAGTAACAGAGCAGGTCAGCAGAAAGGGTGCACTTTGGAGCTCCGAATAAGAAACCTGGCTGGGTTTGTTAGCTTGGGCCCTCTGCAAGAGCTGATGCTGCCAGGAGGCGGCAGTGGCCAGAGCTGGGAGGGAGAAGCAGGGTTCCGCAGGGAGGGTGCTCCATGAAAGGTGGCACTGCAAGTCAAGGGGAGGGGAAGGAAGGACAGACTCTCATGAGCTGTCAGATGTCTAAGGAGTGATAGGTAGGGTTATGAAACTGGGAACATGAGTAGGAGAGGGGCAGGGGGCTACTAGGTAAAGAGGAGGAGGAGGAGGAAGTGGCTGTGAGCCTTGCCCAAGGGACAGGTTGGGAACCGTTGGTCCAGTGACCGGAGCACAGGACAGGAAACCAGTTCCCTTTATCTGCGACTAATGGGCTGTGTGACGTGGACAAACAGGCCTACTTCTCTTTGCCTTAGTGATCCAGTCTGCAACCAAGTGACCTCACTGCTTGCCTTCCTATGTAAGTGCTTCCATAGGCTCCGTGTGCACCATTTGTCCTTTGACTTCTACGAGCAACCACTTCTCACTTGCTTATTACTGAAAGGCTTACGCGCCTTTGCTTACAGACCACGCTGGAAGTCAGCAAATACAAACACTGACCTTCCTAGAGCCTTCCTCCAAAGAGCTGGGATGTTCAGCTGCACTACTGAACCTGATGCGCGCTTCTGCCAGCCCTGGCGCGAATGCTCCTTTTTCCCAGTAACATCAAGTTGCCCGTGGCACTGGCTGGCCATGGCCCACATCTCTGACAGCAGAGAGCTGGGAAGAAGCCAAGTACTGTTACGAAACAGGTTGGCTGGCAACTGGGATCTTGGTGGGAGGACTCGGGAAGCGCAGAAAGGTGTATTGCTTTGGGGGATTAATGTCTGTCCTGGCTGGGGCTGCTCCTCACAACCGTATTTGGACATATGACTTAATCCCGATCAGTACCCAGCCTGCCAGTAATAAACACGTAGAAGATTTAATGCATTCCACCCAGGAGGAGAGGGCTCAGCCAAGAAGCTTCTAACTAGGTCACTGATGAGCAATCTTTCCCCTCCCTCTGTGTCATTTTTATTAATCACTTGAAAAATACGTTGAGTAACGATTGCAAGCAACTTGTCAAGCCAATTAAAAACAGAGAAAGGTAGGGCTGTGAAGCTGAAGACAAATGCTGTGCTGGTTTTAAATGAGTGTCTGTAAACCCTACTGACCTGTGAGTAATTACCTCCAAAAAAAATTGGCAGCTGTGTGTTTCTCAGTGTGAAGGCTTGTTTCTTCTGAATCTACAGGGCAAACAGTTCATTATGGTCCAGAGATGTATCACCAGAGCAAAATCATTTTGAATCTGACTTGCAGCTGCCCTTAGTCTGTTTTGTCTATTAGCATATAGACTCTTCGGCAAGGGCTTGTCAAAGGATTTCATGCACTTTGAGCATTCAATAAAAATAGTACAGAACACTTAACTAGGGAAGGTAGTTTATTTTCTGTAGCTTGAACATAAGTTCATAGCTTTATAACCTGTCCAACTGGAAGATAAGTTGTCAAATCTTCTTGTTTGATGAGGCTGAACAGTGTTGGACTTTGAGGGAGAAAGAGCTGCTAATCAATCTCTCCGTCTTCTCGGTTCAGTGTGGTGAGTTTCCCTAGAGTGGATTCTCTAAGACCATTCAGCTAATTTGGCTGTGCTTGTGTTGGTTTTTCTTTGGTTTATGTTTTATGTGTCGGATGGATTGTATGTGCCAAAAATAAATGTTCATACTCCTGTATTCTTTTTACTCTATATCTGTATTTCGTCTTTGTGAGATATGTGCCAGCGCTGTGGGTTATGAAATAACATTATTCTTCGGGAGACCATTGCATAGTGTTTTCGATCCTGCCATCCAGGATGTTTCTTCCCATCTGTTCCTGGCTGAAATCCTCTTCTAAATTTTAGTCGTTGCTTTTGTTTGCCATTCATAGATTGAAATGAGATATTAAGGAAGGAGATACAAGTATGCCATGCCTCTTTCTCTTGCCGCTGCTCTGTCAACTGGGTGGCAATAGCAAATGCAAATTAGTTACACAAATAAGCTCTCCTGTATGATAAAGAGCGGTCTTTCTCTCAAACTATTTATGAAACAAATCGACAAGCACATGCTTCCCTCTTTCCTAGAAAGAGTAGCAGCCTAGGGATGCAGAGGGCTAGCACACCAGCCTGCCACCTCTTCAACATTAGGTTCTTGTATTGTATCACCTCTGGAAACTCAGGTTAGGGAAGGGGGCAGGAAGCATAAATCAGAGCAGGAGTTTTGTTTTCTGCTGTTGCAAGAGACTTGTTTAAAGCCTTCTGCGCTTGCCCAGCAAGGAGTAAAATTAAATGGTGATGTGCCCCCACGCAGTTGTGGGGAGCTTTTCCTGCTCTTGTAGCTCTGTTGCAGCTGTCACTCAATCGAACCCCCTGCTGCAAAGGCTTCTTTTTCCCCTTCCTAGGCGAATTGTTGTTTTTTTCCTGTATGCCTACTATGAAAAGTAGCTGTATGCCTGAGCCCACCTGTGTTTTCTGTCCTCCAGAGTTAATGAGCTCTATGTGGATGACCCAGACAAAGACAGCGGAGGCAAAATAGAGGTGAATCTGAACATCAGTTTGCCAAACCTGCATTGTGAATGTGAGTACCCCTTTTCACTTACCAGTTTTTCTTTGTATTTTAACTAATACTTGAAATGGGCCCAAACTGGTACAGTGGCCCTTCTGTAATAGGGTGGATGGAGATCAAGTAGCTGCAGCCTTTGCCAATACCCCATCGCTTTCTGTTCCAGGCCAGGACACCTGTTTTCTTGGACCGTGTGCTCGTTCTGCAGCCCATGTTAGCAGCTGATCTCCCTCTCTGGCTTCTTTCTAAATCTCATTTCCTTTTTTCATAGCGACCTTTTTGTCTCTGGGAGCAAGAAGCTTCCCAAGTTTAATTCGTAACTCTGAGTGCACCATCTAGTTGTTGGCTTTTCACAAATTACCTGCCTTGTCTGCCTGAAGTTTTTCTGTTTATGTAATTGAGATTGCAGTCAGCTGGCAGGGTATGGGAGGCATATTTGTGTCAAACAGGCAGTCTGAAAAGTTTGGTTACAAAGCTCTTTCTGAAGGGCTGGTATAACAATTAATATTTGACAGATGACGTTACTAGCACAATTTAGTCAAATGTCAGGAAAAAAGATGCGGATTTTTTCCCAGTAAAAGCAGTGCATGCTCTTCCTATGCAACCTTCCTGTTATTTCTTTTGATTTTTGTCTCCTCCCCTCCCACCCATGCAGTAGTTGGACTAGACATCCAAGATGAAATGGGAAGGCACGAAGTGGGTCATATTGACAACTCCATGAAGATACCTCTCAATAATGGGGATGGCTGCAGGTTTGAGGGCCATTTCAGTATTAACAAGGTGAGTAGGAATGATAGTGAGTGAGTGTGTGCTGGTTGGGGAAAAGCTGGCAAGATCCATTAGTAAAATGCTCATGAAAATCTGTGTGTCGGTGTCTCTCCTGTAGAGTGTACATTCATGTCCCTAATCAGTGGTGAAGTCTGTCGGTGCTGCAGAACAGTGTGGGCAGAGGTGGCTGTGTAGTTAGACCCACAGAGAATGTGTTAGATCAGGCTTTTTCTTTTTTCTTCAAAACAGGTAATCGAGATAGCATTGCTTAACAGCAGAGAGCAGCGCAGCTCTGTGTTGTAGCCAGTGCTGTCTCTTTCAGTGCAGCAGCCTAACATTTAGGGGATGTATGAACTCCTTACAAATGCCAAATGGCTTCTGTGTTTACTTGTCACGACTTTTGCACCTCCAAAATGTGACTCACTGTGCAGAGGTCTTTGGCAATGTCTCTATCCAAGTGCTCTTTTGTTCAGAGAGCCGCAGAATGACAGGAATGTTCCCTACTAGAGGGTGCCAGCGTAACAGAAGCGGCTCCGTGCTGAGATGTTTGGAATACATGCACGCGGCCTCTGCAGATGCTTTGTCGGGATGCTCCACTTCTGTCTCAAAGAATGAAAATCCAGGCCTGGAGGAGGCTCCTCTCTGGGATGGGTGTGTTCAGAGTTGAATAATCTTGCTATGTAATGCTGGAGATGACTAGCTGGGGTGGGGGAAGCAGTGGTGGGGCCCACTGATGTCCTAAGAAGGGCACACCCTTTATTCATGCCTTCTCATGTACCACAGGCTACAAAATCCTACTTACTTCTTTTCCTCCCAGGTCATGTTAAATCACATCTAAAAATAACAGGCAGAACCTCTTACTGATTCTGTAGCATGGAAAGGATTAGGGACTTAAAAAGAGGATGTTTCTTTCCTCGCCTCTAAGCCACCAAGATTACTAGCAGCCCACTAGCCTACAAAACTGGGAAAGGGCATCTTGAAAGGTAGTTTTTGTTCTGTTAATTCCCAAAGCAGAGAGCTGAAATACTTAGCATTTTTTCTGCTAGATGTGGTATGTTTTGTTCACCAAAGAAACTCAAAAGGGGGTTGCTGTATGTGGCAGTGAGGACCTCCCTTCACTGCTTAATCTGCGAAAGGCCACTAATTGTGTTGACTCATATAGTGGCTGGGACTGCTGTTAGAGGGAGGAGACCTGAGCCAGGACTTCTGGCTCTGAAAACCTGAACCTCTTATGTATGAGCTGGAAGTCCTCGGTCCCATGGCAGAAATTGTACGGGCTTCTGTATGAACTGGTATCTGGAGTGGGACACGACCAGGCTTTGAAACTTGACCAAGGGTTGCACTTGGGTGTTATTCTCAAACCTGAAGAGGGGAAAGAAGGTAACAGTGAGATCATTGTGTGTACTTCTTAACTGCAGAGTCTGCCACCCTGTTTACTGAGCTTGTGTATGACACAGCTTGCGTATGACACAGCTTGTGTCCACACCTGAAAGTGTTCCCGGGAGTGCACTGCTGTTCCTCAAGTCGTTTAAATTAGCTTTCCTGAAAGCACATGGAACCGGCATGTGGCCTCTTGTGGCCCTGCTGGGGAGGTGTCGCTGCAGAGAAGGGCAATGGGCACCAGTTGTATAACCGTCCTCCCACTCTTGTCTTAGGCCGCGTCAGATTGCTCCTCAGTGTTGCCAAAGGGTTTGCAAATCAAGGTGGCTTAATTTCCCAATCTTTTCTTGCTAGGAAAAGATTCTTGCACCTTCCATAACACTGATTGAGCTCAATCTGCTGAAAGGGTTCACAGAGTAGGGCTAGTGACCTGAAAAGTGTGTGTGTGCTAGAGTGGTTCCATCAGAATGACACCAGTGTTCATTTTTTTGTCTTGGAACTAAGTTCTTAGGTGAAATTGGTATTTTTCAGAACTTTGTATCTCCCTCCATTTAAAATATTAAAAATCCTGTAGTTGGAAGGGCTGTTGTCAGGCCTAGAAGCTGAAGATTTTTTTTTTTGTCTTGTTTATATAAAACTCATTCTTACGCACAATCTTCTCAAAAGTAAGTTGCTCATGACCAGTACTACAATAAGAATATATCCACACCTCTCTTGGGTTGTTCTGCAGCAGTAGGCCCATTTACAAATGTGAGATGTGGGCATAAAATGTTAAGCAACTGTTTGTTGCCTGTCAGAAACATGAATCTTATTTTAATGAGGATGAAAGACATAGCCTTAAGTGTTAGGAATCCTTGAAGTTGAGAGTGATCCACTCATCACCTCCTAGTCAGCAGCAGTAGCAATGTGAGGGTGCCAGACTCTTGGGCTGCAGGATGTAACTGATCTCTGGTCTGTATGCAGTATGGTGGTGTTGGTCAAGTGCAGGAAGGTATTTCAGAGCCTTGCTCTGACGTGCCAGAGGTTGTCCACTGCTAAGTAGATACAGCTTGCCAGTATCTATCCATCCAGGATGGATCCAGGCATTTCCGCTTCATATCACAGAGCCTAGCAATGCCTTGAGGGATAAAATGTGAAATCCTGTCTTCCTTGTTTTGACTAATTTTAGGTCCCTGGTAACTTTCACGTGTCAACGCACAGTGCCACTGCGCAGCCTCAGAATCCTGACATGACTCATGTCATCCACAAGCTCTCATTTGGGGACAAGTTACAGGTGAGTTCTCTTCTCTGAAAATTCCCTGGCTCTAGGGGAATGAATGCAATGAGTGTGACTTTAATATTAGACACTTAAGTTTTATGGAAGGGACATGTGGAGAGGACATAAGAAAGGACTGCCTGGGTAAGCAAGCCCACCCCTTGCAGTCGTGCTATGTACACTCAGTCCAGAAGAGTTCGCAAACTGTTTACACGCCACCACTTCAGGAAGGAGCAGCGTTCAGTCATACAGTAACTTCGCTGTTTTCTTCTGAAACTGAAAGTGCTTTTGGAAGACTATGTGGCTATCTTTCTGCAAGGAGTAGAAATGAGGATTTACAGCTTTGCATAATCTATACAGTACTCTTTTCAGTATTAATACAGCAGACAAATCTTGGGCTGAGTTTGCAGAGGAGCAGTGAGTATACTAAGGGAAGGTGTGTGCTTACTACTGTCTTTACCATGGCACCAGTCAAGTTATTTTTAATTCACTTCAGTGTGCTTGTATAGCAGACACCTATTAGTCAAATTTGTTCTATGAAACACAGCTTAGGCTTAGAACTGCCAGTTCCCTGCTGGGAAGAAGCTGAACGTGTGCACTTGCCCTGTGGATAGAGTTTCACCAGGTGTTGCAAGTTATGTAATAATTCCTGATTTCTCAATAAGGACAGATTACAGCATTTCTCTAGCCTACTTCCAAGGAGCTAGCATCATAGGTGGGAGTTATATATGTGCACACCCAGTTTGCGACTCACCCTAAACATTGCTTACCCATAGTCTCTCTGTAATCTTCTTTCCTCAGCACAGACGTCTCATTAGTCTGCTTCTTGTACACCCACTTCCAAAACCCTTTTTCATGCTAACAAGTCTAAGCGTTGCTTTGTAGTCTTCTGACTCTGCTCCCGGCTTCTTTTAGGAAATATCTTGTGTGGGAACGCTGAAATATTAGCATATAAATAAGCTTGGCTTAATGTCTGTAAAGCACACTGAGATTATGAAAAATATTAGGTAAGTGCTAATAGGGAGTTCTGCAGTTTGCGTGGGAAATCGGCACTCTAAGGTAGCGTTCCCATTGTTTTATCATGGAGTCTTTGAGTAATGGAGCTGAAGTGTGAATCAGCATGAATGAGATGAGAAGCCTGGACAGTTGGGGGCAAAGGAGCAAGCATCTTCAGTTCCGGTGGTGAGACACCTGTCTAGCAAACATGTAGTTGGCTGCTGATTGGGACAAGTTCTGATTAGTATTTTCAAAGCTCAAAATAACTACTCATCATCTCCATACACAAGAATGGAGTATGTAGGTGCTGCTGATTCTGTAGGCAAACATGAGTTCAGCAGCACAAATTAAAGAAGGATGTGTTCACTAAACAGTTGCTATGAAGACTCAGCAAATAGTGTAGAGAGTCAGCAAGTACGGAGAGCTTTAAATCAATCCAGATACACTTTGAATATTTTGTTTTGTCTCCACCTGCTTTAATGTAATATATGGTCGTGTCTTAAAGGGGGTGAGGAGCTTCTCATTCGCTTGTGTCATGTGCTGGGAGTTAGTTCTTTGTAGGTTGTTACCAGCTCAGCCTGAGTGATCCACTAAGGTACAGGCTGTGTTCTCCAGAAAAAACAGTGTGTTTGAAATAGACATTTAATTCTCATCAGGCATTGAATGAGCTTCAATTCTTCAGCCGTAGTTCATGCACAGTAGTGGCAGACTTTTTGCAGATTTTTCCCTTGTGTAGATGAGACCGAAATTCAAACCAATGAGGTTCTTGCATGTCAGGTAACCTAGTAAAGACAGAGATGTGAAAAGTAGGAGATTATATGTTTTTAATTGTAGAATTCTCTAAAGTGCTAGATCATGGTGTTGAATAATCCTAGTTCTAACCTTTGTGAGAGGTCTTGTCTTCCCTTGATAGTTGCAAGGTTGGAAGTTATTTTAGCCTGCTGTTGGACTCTGCCTGAGTTATATGTCCAGTTATATGTCTTTGTATGTGTTTGTAGAGGTTAAAGCCTAGGGTGCTGAAGGTCCTGGCAAGCATCTTTTTGATGTCCATGTTGCAGGAGAATGGAGTGTTGGCACTGTTAAACCACTGACTAGCCTCCTGTGCCACTGCTCCAAGCAGTAGATTTGGCCTTGTAGTGCAGCAGTCCTGAGAATGTCTGGCCAAATAGGCTTGCTTAAGTTCTCTGTTGCAAAGCAATTTTGTTGCTGTGGCCAAAAGCTTACTGCCTGTTGAAGTCCCTCCAGGTACTGAACAAGGTACAAACAAGTACGTTCCCCCAAGGAACACACCCGTGTGCTTTGTAGAGCAGAGATTAACTAGCAATCTATGGGCAGTGTGGTGGGCTGACCCGGGCTGGATGCCAGGTGCCCACCAAAGCCACTCTGTCACTGCCCTCCTCAGCTGGACAGGGGAGAGAAAGTACAATGAAAGGCTCATGCGTCAAGATAAGGCCAGGGAGAGATCACTCAGCAATTACTGTCACGGACAAAACAGACTCGACTTGGGGAGATTAGTTAATTTATTGCCAAGCAAATCAAAGTAGAGTAATGAGAAATAAAAACAAATCTTAAAAAAACACCCTCCCCCCACCCCTCCCTTCTTCCCAGGTTTAACTTCACTCCTGATTTTTCTTTCCCTCCTCTCCCTGAGCGGCGCAGTGGGATGGGGAATGGAGGTTGTGGTCAGTTCATCACACCTTGTCTCTGCTGCTCCTTCCTCCTCGGAGGGAGGACTCCTCACCCTCTGCCCTGCTCCAGCCTGGGGTCCCTCCCACAGGAGACAGTTCTCCACGAAATTCTCCAACATGAGTCCTTCCCACTGGCTGCAGTTCTTCGCAAACTGCT